CAGTGTAACCTAACCTAACCTAACCTATCTGTACGAATATAAAACTTTGGATGAGTGAAATCTCGGTTGTGATAGATTTTAAAGTGTTCATTGCAAGAGCAGCATATAAAAATATCAATATTTTACAAGGAAAATCAAATAAACAGAAATAAGTTTCTATAAACTAAAATGATCTTTTAATTTTTTAAGAATTCCAATTGGCAAAATCACCCTGTAGAGTCCCATATACATATTCATCAGTATGTTGGCCGAGAGATAGAAAGGTAAATGCATAGATACATACACGCATATATACAAAACATACATACGTACATATATACACCAGCCTTTTCAACTAAGTCGCGCTCACCATCAGGCACTTTACTTTTGGTTAACCAACGATCGATGCTTGCGCTCAGATCGTAAAACTAGTTTTTGAAGCTGGGATAGTTGCACGCACACCGAAGCATGGGCGACTATGTACATACATATACAAATACCTATATACTGTGTTTATATACATACATTGTACATCAACAAGGTGCTAATATGACTACATTTAATGTTCACATAATTTGAATTTCATGAGTGAACGGTGGCTGTCACCGCATAGAACTGATAGAACCAATTTTATAACGACAAAGAATAATGAAAACCTGTTAATGTTATCATAAAGAGTTTTACAGAAGACTTTTGCAGATTTTTTGTAAAATTTTAAATGCTAATTTTTGCTATGTAGTTATGTATGTGCATAGAAACATACTGATGTTGAACACAACACCGTTTGTACCAATATACATACATACAATACTTTGTTTTTCACCGTAAAACTCAAAGTCCAGAATAAAAAAAAAATATATATATATATACATATATATATATTAAGTTAACAATTATAGCACAAAAATACCCGAACCAGTTGTCTGTCTAGCACAGTGATTCCCAAAGTGGCGTGAAATATGGGGGTCCATGAGTTGTAAGTGGGGATCCACGAAAATTTATCTGGTCTCGATAGCAAAGAACCATAATGTTTGCTTCATAGCCTCTTTATTTAAGTACATATTTTTTTGAGTGGTGTATGCACTTACCGTTACTTGCAGACTAAACAGAACCGGATGTTGATATAACACTGAGTGGGGCACGGCGGAAATTGTTGGCGGCAGAGATTTAAGCACTTGTGTCTTTTCAATGCTACAGGATAGTTCGCCACTATTACCTTTGTTGAAGAGATTCTATAATGTTGAGTTCCCTGAGGTTAAATACTGGATTAATTCCATCACTGAGACCGGTCTCACTCATTGTAGTCGCTGATGGCTCCAAAACTGCCTCTGGGTCGTGATATGGGGTCAATTTCGAAGTTAATGGGGATAAGCTTCACTTTTATGTTGGGGAATATGCTTCAGCCTTCCAGGTTGAGGTAATTACAATCCTCTAAGCCAGGTACTATGTGGTGGAACATAGGTGGAGTGGGAGGAGTTTACGTGTCTGCAGTGACAACCAAGCTGCACTTAAGGCATTGGCCTGCCCTCTAACTACTTCCAAACTAGTTCGGCAATGCAAGTCTCGACTAAATTACGGTGGTAAACATAACGAGCTTGTTTTGCTATGGGTACCAGATCACTCAAGTGTACCTGGTAATGACACAGCTGACCATTTGGCCAGAATTGGCTCAGACCATGAATTCCTCGGTCCGCAACCAGTTTTAGCACACTCACTTTCGGCCATCGAAGCAACCATCACAAATTGGGTGAATACTTCGTTCAGCAATGACTGGGAGGCATCGAGGGGATGCATGTCGGCTCATGTTGCCATCAATCTCAGAAGGGCTATCTAGTTTTTTGCTCTCACTGAGCAGCCCACACTGCACACAAGTTGTTGGACTGCTGACTGGTCACTTCACGTTGCACAAACACCTGACTGTGATAGGCGTAAATGACAAGACCATTGGCCCATCCTGCCTTGAAGAGGATGTGACGGTGGAACACTTTTTGTGTTCTTGCTTGCTTGGTTGTTTGTCATCGAATTTTCTAGACTCGTTGGTTTCTCTATTGTAAGTTTATGCATTAAAAGTTTGCCGTCGAAGGCTTAGCCGTTTTGTGCACCTGCACGTGTGTAATCACATTATTTTAATACATATAAATAAAAAATAATAGAAAGAAAATCTTTTAGTTTTATTTTGGCCACTCCGAGTTTAGTTTTTGAATTCACCCGCGATGCAAATTTACATACATGGGCAGATCTAATCTTCACATTTCATTTTTTTACGAGCTATGGAAATATTTAGAAATTTATCAGCAGGGAGTCCACCGAAACCGGTATATTTTTGAAAAGGGTCTACGTGAAAAAAAAAAGTTTGGGAGCCTCTGGTCTAGCACATGCTGAATTCTTTTATGCTCGTGACGTAAATAAGTTCGGCGAGCAAATATTTGACGTGTATTATTTGAGGCCACATTTTAAATACATATGTACATTTTTTATTTGTGTGCTTGTTAACGCCAAAGCATGCTTGGTTTGCTTTTAACATTTGAATATAATGTTCAGATAGGTATTTTGATAGCACACTGCTTGTAAAGAAGTACTCCAGATCCATTCAATCAGTATCGATCATTCCTGAAAAAAGATAGCACTCAATTCATTCATCTTCTATACAAATGGCAACCGAACTGCCTCCAAATGCTTGACAGGGATTTTAACATTAATCAGGCTCTGTCAAAGGCTGGAGAAGACGTTCAGGTTGCGTTGCGTCACTATAAATGGACCCCCGCCTCTGTGTGGCATCTAAATGGGTGAAAGGACAT